AGAAGTAGCTGTACGAAACTCACAGGCTTCTGAGAGCTCGGGGGTGTTTGATTGCCAATTAGTGCAACTGATGGGACAGCACTATATAACTACCAGGGGGAAAAATGCTGGCTATATTTCAGAAGCTCCAACATATTTCAAACCAATTAGACATTTTCCAAAATTCATTAATCAAATAGTGCAATGAACAGTCTCTCCCCCACACCCCTTCCTCGAGTCAGGAGACAACTAAGGGGTCCAACTCAGACAGATGTGGAAAAGTTGGAGCGGACAGAAAAATTCCTAAGACTAAAGCCGTTACCTCTCGTAGGCTCCTAGTAACGCAAATAATCTTAGAGGTTACTGATATTTACATAAACAAAGGGAAATGGACAAGCAGACAGAAAGCTTTGGTTTCCCTGAGTAAACTGTTATGAACTGAATTAAGCCAAATCAATCTAAAAACTATTGAAAGCTTACCGGGACCACATTATAAAATAAGGCTGCAGATGGAATTTTACAGACCTATATCTGATCCCTCTTATGCTTTTTAGAATGAAAGGGTTCTTAAGCACCTTTTCTATAGCAGCTAAAACAGTATTTTCTCAAATAGACACAGATCTAAAGATGCCTCAAAAATCAGTATCTCATTGGTTACAAGACCAATGCAAACTGGCTTGCAGCCAAAATCCAACACAGTCAAGAAGCTATCTGACGCTTATCTGCAGGAAATCAATCACAACTGTGAAGACGTGAACAACTCCACCTTATGTAAACCTGACTCTCTGGAAAAATTGGAGGAACTGACACTATCCCTAAAAAAATCCTTTGACTACTTTAAGGGAACATCAACTGCTCAAAGCCTAATATCAAAGCCACCTGGTGGGACAATATTAGAAGCTGAGGGTGTTCAACAGCTTATGAGAACCGAGGAGGAGGAACCAGACCTGGGACGATACCCTCAACAAGCTCCGAAACTAAATACTGTAAAAGCAATGACCAGAAGGTTGTTGTCAAGGATGCAGTCAATGCATTGGACAATGATTTATTAATGTAACTGGACAGTGACGGAGACAATCTCATGGGAGAAGCACTTATTGCTTTTAAAAATTTGCCCAGGGAAGAACAAATAAAGATCATCACCAGCTTGGACAAAGTAAGGGTCGAGCTAACTGACAATACGGAAGGATATAATCCATCTCAGACTCCCTCCCCCTAGAGTATAAAACCTTGAGGGTTGATTCCATGCTGTCCATGGAGTCTCGCCCTCTGCCTGCTCTGCTTCAAACCCACTCTGGGTCAAAACAGCACCTAAATCAAGCCCTCATTCACCAAAAGTTGAGGACTCACAATGAGGAGGAGGTTCGGACCCTTCTTAGGAGGCCATCTAAAGCTGGCTCTGATCCCCAAGAATTTTCATCTGCACATCTATTGATCCCAAACTCGGACTTATCAAATGACCCTCAAACGGAAAAATGACTGAACAACCCTGATCAAACCCCAGGTCATAAAACTCTGCTAAAAATTCTTTTATGCAATATAGCAGAATGGAAACGTGAAAGTAATGATAATACTTTCCTGAACTATCTTAAAGATTTTGATACTGTATTACTACAGGAAACGTGGGCTTTACAGCAAGTCATGCTAGGAGGGTGTAAGTCCTTCTGTGAATCAGCTAGCAAGGCAAAAATCAAAGGGCGCCCAATTGCTGGCCTAGCCACACTAGTCAATATCGCATTAAATTCAGAGCATATAGATATTCCTTCCTCACAATGCATATACTGGCCACTAAGGTCAGCATTCTTGATAAAGTGTTGATTTTACTGTATTTTTCCGTTTATAAGATGACCTGATGTTTATACATTATGTATAATGTATCTTATGATGACCCCCCCTCCATGCCCTCTCAAAAGGCAAGGAAAAGTGGCTGTCACCATGACAGCCGCTTTTCATTGCCTTTTGAGAAGGCATGGAGCTTAGCAAAAAGGGAGAAACACCTCCCCTTCCTTTTTGCCAAGCCCCATGCCTTCGCAAAAGGCAGCAGTAAAGAGCTGCCTTCTGTGTATAAAATGACCCTCAATTTTTTCTCAAATTACTTAGGGAAAAATGTCATTTTATATACAGAAAAATACATATACATTTACATCCCTCTGGGACTCAACAGCTTACAAGGGCTCCAGCAATGGAAGCTTTTAAAACAATGTATTGAGGACCTTGAGAGAAAATACTCTCGGGTTGCATTCATTCTGTCGGGTGATTTAAATGCCAGAGTGGGGAGGGATGATCAGATATTTTTGAAGGCCTTAGAATTAGAGAGTGACATCTCCCTCCCCCTCTCTGCTGTAATTTCAGCAAATGGTCCAAGGATGGCACTAAAAATGCAACAGGGATTGCTTTAGAAAAAATGTGTATCCAAATTAATTTAATTTGGCTAAATGGTTTAACAGAATTCCCAGATTCAAGGGAGTTCACTCATATTGCTACCCAAGGAACCAGTGCCATCGATTATATTCTAATTTCAATTACTTTGAAATCCTATGTGGTAGAATTTGTGGTGGGTGACTTTTTAGCCAGTGACCACCTGCCTTTAGTAGCAAAGATGGCTCTTCCAGTCACCAAGAGAAAGGTGTGTCTGGATTCTAGTCATGATCTGACAATCTTGACTAAAATAGTCTGGAATAATCAAGTACATCAAAAATTCCAAAAATTATTAACAAGTGATAAATGCAAAGATTTCATGACTTCCACCACAAATCCCACTGAACTTGCTGACAAAATCAAAGTATTTGATGGATTAATCAAGCATTTTCACTCTGAACTAGGGTACAGGTACTCTATTCAAAATGGTAGCAAACCCCTAACCTCAAGAACTTGGTTTGATTCCAATTGCAGGGACCTGAAGGCATGTATCTGAAATGCATGTAGCACTTATAGAAAATCTGATCATATCCAAGCTTTACAGAAATATCTTTCCCAGGAAAAAAAAAAACGAAGGGATTATAGTAACAAAAAAAGCAAAGATATATTATTGAGCAATGGCATAAACTGCAACTAGCTGTAATCCAAAAAAATAATAACCTATTCTGGGCCATCACAGCTGGCTCCTCCAGGATGAAGACACACGATCGCGCCATAATTTCACCACAAAGATGGGTCCAACGTTTCTCGGACCTCTTCTTCAACAAGGACATAGTTCATAGTGTCCCTATTATACTCTCTTCATTTGACCTACCTGTATAGCCACCAGTAACCACTGAAGAGCTTAAAGAATTAATCATGCATCTGAAAGCAGGGAAAGTGGCTGGTCCTGATGCCATTCCACCAGAGTTATTGAAATGTGAACCGGACTGGTGGGCTTCGTTAATTGCTCCCCTCTTTACCGCTATAGACAGCATAGGAGTTATCCCCAAATTTTAGATCAACTCAATTATTGCCCCCATATATATATAAAAAAGGAGACTTTCATGTCCCAGAAAATTTTAGATCAATTAGCCTGCTGTCAGTAATTGGAAAACTTTATGCTAAACATCTATTAAACAAACTTACTTGGATTAATAACCAGGCTATTCTTGGCCCTGAGCAAGCTGGCTTCAGGAAAGGAAAGGCCATTGCAGATGACTGCCTAATACTTTCACACCTCATCAACAAAGAGGTAATGGGGGGGATTCTAAATTGTATGCAGCCTTTCTTGATCTCAAGGGAGCCTTTGGCTCTGTAGATAGAGAGTCCTTATGGAATAAACTCCAAAGGATTAATAACCAGGCAATTCTTGGCCCTGAGCAAGCTGGCTTCAGGAAAGGAAAGGCCATTGCAGATGACTGCCTAATACTTTCACACCTCATCAACAAAGAGGTAATGGGGGGGATTCTAAATTGTATGCAGCCTTTCTTGATCTCAAGGGAGCCTTTGGCTCTGTAGATAGAGAGTCCTTATGGAATAAACTCCAAAATTTGGGTACAGACAAAAAACTTCTCTCTCTCATAAAAAATATTACACTCCAGCACTACCTGTCAAGTTAGATCTTTTTAGAAGGGCAAATTAAACAACAAGTTTCCAACCAGCAAGGGGGTGAAGCAAGGATGCATCCTTGCTCCTTCCTTGTTCAACCTTTTTATGAATGATCTAGCTCTTTATTTAGCGAACATGGATGGTCACCCTCCCAAGTTAGGGGTATACGTATTCTGTTTCGCTACTGCTTTATGCACATGATGCCATTATTATCTCACAGACCAGTCCTGATCTGAAACATTTGACTAATAGATGTGTGGAGTATTTGGTCAAAAACAAAATGCAACTGAATTACAACAACTCTAAAATACTAGTTTTGCTAAGTCCTGGAATCAATTACAGTGGAAACTACCGTAAATGGTAACAGTATCAAACAGGTCAAACAGTACTCATTTTTATTAAAGATATTGGGGGTATTCAGTGTGTAGGCAGACAATAGTCTGTAACCGTGAAGCCTCTTTTTCTGAAGAACAAATGTCAATAGTAAACTTTTATTCTCATTTACTGCAAAAAATAAAAGAGCTCATGCATGGATGTAGAGGAACTTTTTTAGGAGACCCCTAAGACAGTTGTATGTTTATTGCCTGAACAAGTGATTTGGCAACAGTAACATGTCTTGTAATTTTGGGGGGTTCTGAATATCTCATGCTGGATGACTACTAAAGCAAATATGTCTTTCTCTAAATACTGGGCAAAAACAGACTTGTTTGAGTAACCTTTTGCTTCAGATATAAGCCTAACAAGTTCTGGATGATACTTCCACCATTCCATCTTTTCTATTATATTTGCTGCCTTCTAAATAGCAAGTTGGGTTTCTTCAGCTACTACTAAAATATGTCTCCCTCTTTCCCTTTCTCACTTTCCTTTTAATAATCAGCTTTAGGAGCTCAGGTGTATAGAAAAGCATTCCGTTCCTCCACTACGTTAGTACATCACAACTGAAATACTGGTGTGTTGAATCTGAACTTGTTCTTATAGGCCAGCACATCAACCTAAATTGTACATTTCCTTACCTCCTTGGTGAATTAATGAGATTTGACTTGATGGTTCTTGGAATCCTGGCTTTACTAGATCCCGTCGAGTATGTGCTGATGCCTGGTCTACACTGTCCTAGAAAGAGCAGGAAAAAGAAGAAGAAAACACTTACTGAGCAATGACATTAACAACCTTTTCCATGACAATGAATCAAAGGAGTAAAATCTTAGTTGTATTCTGAACCACAGAAGAAAGTTGTTACAACACTCACAAGTTAGAAATAATTGCATTAGGTAATATTTTCCTCAACAGCCTACTTATTCTGTATTTAAAACATTACCATTTTAATTTCAATCTGAAGAGTCTGAAACTCAGAGGCTGCATAAAATTGTGCTGCTAGCTTAACTATTAAAGTCAACTACTACGTAGAGCAACAGTTTTAGCCATGGTCTTCACAGGTGAGACCTCAACACAAGCCTATCATACAGAATGGGGGAAACCAGCATATTAGGGAACACATAATAAATTCTTGCTAATTATATTTGAGAAATCATTTAGAGAAATAAGGATTCAATTGTACTTATTTGAAATATATCTTACTCATCTTTGAAGAGCAGCTCCAATATAAAGCAATAAACTAGGTACCATACCACAAAAACAATTATTTTAGATGCAGAGAAACTGTAATGTTTCTGAATGTATTTTGTTTTTCAATGGTATGAGCACAGGAATGAGGTGTCACGCGGGTTCATTACAATACAGACTTTACTACTTTACACACACAATCCAGTATCAACCCAGAAAATATTTCGCTTACCCACACATTTCTCCATATGTGCCACAGTCCGGCAACGAAAAATTCCAGAAAACAGACATTTGCTACAGTCAAGCTTTTAAATGCCATCTGGTTGTATTAGCAACCAAAAGGAAAGCTGGCTAATGCAGATGTATAATGTTGTACCATCAGCCATAGTTTAGAGGCCAGATGCTCCCTTGGGGTTCCTGAGCTCCCGTCTTTTCAAGCACAAGTCCCATGTCCCCATTTAAATATTTAATTCAAAATATAGTTTGTTAAAATATGGTTGTGATAAAGCAACTTGGAACAATTCAGTTAAGCTCCAAAAAATACAGGGAGGGAAGAGATGTTGCATGAGAGAAAATGCCAGCCCAAATGGAGCCCATCACACCACAGCATGGGCCAAAATTTTAAAAAGCTTTGCTGTTGTACTGTTCATACCATAGGCACAGTCCCACATTTTAAGAAGGTTTCTAATGTAAGTGTGGAAACGTCTTGACTGATTATATTCATATACAAAACTGCAAGCACATGTCAAATTAATTACCTCAGAATCCATGGGTGGCTCATGCACTGGGACAGGTTAGGTGCCGTAGCCCAAAATTTCAGCAGCGCCCAACCCAAGCTATCTATGCCAGAACCTGGCACTCTAAAGCGTGACTGTAGCTATAACCTGAAATATTATTTAATCTTCTTCCTCAGAAAATAAAAGGTTGGCTCTTACCTCCTCCCCATTTAAGAGAATTTGTGCTGTGCTCACCTACACAAGGTGTCCAAAATAGCTTTGACTGCACCAACTTTAACCATAATTTTAAAAGTAGGCATGAATATAAACACATACCGGGGTTGGATGTACATAAAATACTGGCAAAGTACAACACAACTACATTTCATACCACATTTATTTATACAAGCTGTTTGGGAGACAAATAACAGCAAGCTGCCAACTGCAACAGCCAGGTGGTCACAGGAACAAGGTTTTGTGTCATGCCTGTTCCCTGCAGAGGAAACAAATATTCTGCATACACATAAACCATGCTTAGAATACCATCGTATTTAGATTTAATGCATTAATTTACTATTTTTCTTCTACCTGTGACAATTTTGAAATCCAAAACATGTCTGTCATCACATAGTACTGAATTAGAAGAAATGCTATTTTCAGACCCCACATTATGTATTAGTGACTATAAAGTGACTATAAGGAACATTTAAGAAAAGATCTGAAATAAGACATGCAGGAAGTTGTGCAGGTTTAAGTTTTAAATCAACAAACATTTAAATACAGAAGACAATCAGATGTAGACAACTGGTTTCAGGTAAGACTGATGAACAGCATATTTGGTTCTCAACCTGTGTGCCCTCAATAATCTGTGGTTTTGCCCCTTTTGCAAAAGACTTAGTAGGAAATACTTTATTTCCATAACTGATGCACTGATTCTGTCTGGTGTCCCCTTTATTCATCCTTACTGATTATCTGAAAGGAAATCTGCACCTTAGCTCTTTGAAACAGGATATCCACAAATGTGCACCTTCTGATAGACTTCAGAGTCTGCATGAACCCCACTGCTTTTACTCTTACTTAAGTGCTACACCTGTATCATAAATAGATTTTAATATAAAGCTTTTCACCAAGATAATGGTTTCATTTTTTGCAGCAAAGTTTGTGAGATTTCAAATTTCAGATAAAGATTAAATTCTAGCACGTGCATCTCAAAAACTACATACTGCCATGTAACTTAGTTTTAAAGCTACATTAGAAAAATAGTCAGTGCTACAAGAAGAGTGATCGTTTGACCGATAAAGTGAACTGTTTCTTCTCCTTATTTGGCAGACGTTTTAGAGCAAAACCAGGGAGAATCTCTAAGTTGTAATCAGGCAATCCTACTGATTGCATCTATTTAGTGCTATCTACATATTAAATGGGCTACTACTGTTATTTTTTCCTCTGATACTAGGAAATCTTTGACCCAAGCAGCAACAGAATTTAAAATGCAATTCAGGTGCTAATGTTTCTTCAGGTTTATTGTTATTTTTAGACAGTTTTAGCTCTGAAAATTCCCCCTCCCCATATTCACTCTATACAAGCGTGAATTGTAGTACAGTATGGTAAGAATTGCAATTGGTACTGAGGGCTTGTTAAGCCCATCAGCTTATTCACATTCTAAACTTTCCATTCACAAGAAAAAAGGAGTAAATCTGTAGCTCGTATAAAACTGGGGATTGATTTGATTTGATCTGATCTGATTTTATTTGACTGGAAGCACTACTCTAGATAGTTTACATGTTAAAACTTAAAAACCCATAAGAGCCCACATAACATCTGTTTCCAGTAAGACAGGTGATTTGTCTATGATGGCTTGCAGGACTCATGTATGTAAGCTTCTACCTCAGCCATGTCTTTCCTCTGGGATGGTGTCTCTGGATGACATGCCCCTGCCAGGTTTGTCAAGACAGTATCCCAGAAAGTGTTTCCTGTTATCACAGATGTGAAGGACTTGGACTCTAGAATACAACTGCTTGTGCTGCTATTTGGGGTGCAATAAACATCGATCATTTCTTCCTAATCTGGGTGAACCTCAAATGCTAGCCAGAACTTCTTCACTAGTTGCTGTGCATGTGATGGAAAGCTGGCTGGCACGGCCTTCCCCCGTTACTTAATATCCATTGCGCCCTTGCTGCTGTTTAAATATTCATTGTTTAATTCAAGGGTCCAAGAGGACTGCTAGAACAGACACCTCCTCCTTCCATAAGGAAACAAACTTGTAATGGATCATGTCATTTAGCTTGCTGGCCAGAGCCACCACTGTTGTCCCTCTATGTAATCCACCTACACTGTCCCCTCATTACATTCTCCACCATGCCCAAGAAATCCTGGAACAATGGAATCACCTGACTAAAGATGACTGTTTCTCCACTAAGGACCCTTTGTTGCAATCTCAAAGCTTTGGAGAACATAGACCACTTGACCCATAATGTCCCACTTTTTCCTGCCCAGAAGAGTAGTCACACCAAAGGAGATCTCCAGCAACAAATCATGGAGTGTCCTTTGCTGCTCCAGCACTCTTTCAAGCAGATAGAAAGTGGAGTTCCATCTTGGATTAAGTAGTAAAGTGGCAATCCCAATTTTTTTGCAACAGCTCACTGCCTTGGACACTGGTGCAAATGCCCTGCCACCTTTCGGGCCCACTCAATTATATTAGGCATGCATGTGTCTTCCATGCCCTGAAAAACATCCCAAATTACTAGAGTGAGATTGTGGTACATACACTGCATCCCTTCGATCTTCTCAGCCTGCAGTGGTGTCACTTTATATGTCCCATTGTCTGTGACAAACTGGCCTTGCCTTTCTGCAGCTAGACTGCTACAGCAGGTCCCTCAAGGCCTCTAAAATGTTGTGAGCTATTTGGCTGTGCTCCAGCACAGCCACATTCAACAGTATACTGCCCTTGTGTGTTGCCCTATGCCTGATGCCTCCAACTCGCACCAGTATGCTGTCAGGGAGAGACAGACATGTTTTGCAGCCTGGCTGTCACTTGTAAAATGTATGGCCTCTGCCCTAGCCAACAGCTGCTGTACCTGTTGCCTGACACCTCAATATAAATCTGGCACCATTGTACAATTAAAGGTACTTCACAATAGCAATTGGCAATGGGGTGCCAGTTCTGCTACTAACGTATAGAAATTAGTGTTCTCCATCAAAGAGGATGATACTTAATCATCCAGAACTATCATCTCACCTGTGTGAAGAGTAATCCTGGCCATTTTATATTTGTAGAAGGCCTTTTCCTACAGCCATCCAAGCTCCTCCATAGCAGACTGGAACTCTTTCATGAGAGGAAGGCACATTTAAACTGATGCTAACTTTGTGTTATGTTGGCATGAACAGGATTTTGCCCATTTAGTGAGAAAAACTAACCCTAAATTTTAAATGTTAACTCTGTCTTCCTTATTTCAGTCTTCTTTCTTCATTCTAGCTGCTGTATTTAGAGAATCTTGTTTTAAATCTTTAATTTTTAAACTTTGTTTATTTCAATACTTATTTTTGTGTTGCTTTAATTGTGACTGCATAGTGTCAGTTGCTATGGATTTCAATACTTATTTTAGTGTCGCTTTCATTGTGACTGCATAGTGTCAGTTGCTATGGCCCATGACTAAACAAAAGTATATATGATATTTAAGAAGATGCAGTACTAACTGACAAGTTTCCTATGTAACTGGGGAAAGCAAATTGGGAAAAAATGTATTTTTCCCAATTGCCTTAAATGTCTGAACTTAAATATTTACTGAGAAAAACTAATGCTATGCATTTAGTTTCACCTAAATGGCATGTCAAACA